TCTCCAGTGGGAATTGAACTTGTACTCAACCGCTTGGGGTGCGACAACTTCACCACTTCACTAAGTCGCCACACCCTGCAATTTCATTTAAGTATTCTAGATTATCGATATCTTCTTCATTTTTTTTCAGCTTCTAATTCAGTTGATCTTTCTTCTACATCCATTGTATATTCATCCTATCTAATTGTTCGCATACTATTTTCAATCTTCATTAGTAATACTATTACTTACTTCTGTATCTTGATTTCTTTCAGTAGTATTAATTTCTTGTTCTTCCCTATCAGATTTATTATCAGAAACTTCACCCAACTATGTTTACTTTCTTCATACATTTCACATTTTTCTCAAAGTTGTTTATTTTCTTCTTCTACATAGTCAATCCACCAATCTCTCCTAAATTCTTAAGTTAATATTTTAGTTAGAATAACTATAAGTTAAAATTTTTCTCTTATCATTGTAATTTGTTCTTTAATCCTTCTTGTTCTTCTTTTACTATTACTATTTCTTCTTCTAGTTCTTTTATTTTTTCTAATTTTACTTGTAATTTTTGTTGTTCTTTAGTTAATTTAACTTTTAATTTGTCAGTTGAATTTTTTAGTCTCCAATTTGTAGAATACTATTCTTCTCGTTTTTTTTGCAGTTTTTCTTCTGCTTTCTTAGCTTCTTGATCTTCTCCATATTGTTTTATTTATTGTTTTAATTTTTGAAGTTCTTCTGATTTTTTTGCTGATTCTTTTCTGAAATATCTAATAGTATTATATGAAGCATCTTCTATTTCTATTGCTTTATACTTGTCTTTTTTTTTAGTATATAATAGTTTAGTTAAATAATCTATTTGTTCTTTTTCTTTTTGTTCTCATTCTCGAAATTTATCTGATTGTAGTTTTGCAATTTGTTTTAATTGTATAAACCTATAAGATAATATTTGTAATGCTTTATCTTTTTGTTGTACTTTATCGACAACTTCTTTTTGTTTTCCCTTATTAAACTTTTTACTATATATTATAATTAATTATTTCATTAGTTTTTTTTTTTATATTTTTTTTCTTTTTCTATAAATATTGTTTTTACTTTTGTTTAGCTTCATTTTTTTATTTTATATACTTCATGTCTGAAATAAGGTGTT